AAAACACGCTGCCGAAACCCGAGTAACTCCTGTCCTATCGTGAATAATTATCTACTCGCGGGCAGGGAACCTGAGACTGAGAGACGCAATGTTTGGAAACCGCTGAACGGGCGCCATTTTGAATCACGGACGATATTTTGGGGGAAACGTCGCGTGTTTCACACGTTCTAACCTCAATAACACGGATAATGAGATTAGATCTCCCCGCTTTCGGAGCGCCGCTAGAGGAACATGTGGCCTAGATTCTAACCAAATGATACTTGAGAGGGAAGCGATTTGTAGCAGCAGAGAAACACTGGCAGAAGAAGGGGAGATTCAGAGGGCTGGCGCAGCCGCCATATTGGTACCTCCACCATATTCCGACTGAGTACAGTAGAGCGTGCCATTCAGTGGAAGGGCGCTTTATTATTCGCGAGAATTGAAACATTTCAATCTTTGTCAGGTATACAGGGGCATATTTTACAAATTCTATATCCACTTTTAAGAGATTTGTGAGCCATGTGACCTTGCGCTAACGCTCTATGTGATAAAAGTATTAACGGTGATAGAGCGCACATGCGTTTATTCATTTATAGGCTTATAGTAGTCATTATATTCAAATATCTTATTTTTCTCTTAATATATTATATTCTTATAACTTCGTGAAATTATCATAGGCAATTTAAACAGCTACTAGTTAATGTTTAAAGTTGACTTCACGTTGTAAAATCCGTCCTATAAAAAGCTGAGTAGATTTGTGATGTCCGTATCAAGCCCAGAGTGGCATTTGTAATTTATGTATTTGCGAGTCCCAGAAATGGAGAGGATGTTTTCCTGTTCACGCATGCATGCAGGTTATTATCTCTCCCCTGAGAACCCAGTCCCTCCCCTGATTGGATCAGCAGTTAACTAGTTTTGACTTGATGGATGAATGATTGACGTGTGTCAGCCCTCTTCAATCAAACCAGCGGATTTAAGAGGTTCGAAGTGATTGAGAACCCCTATCGTGTTTCCCTATGCAAATCTAATGCGACGTGCATTCGTCTTGGCGAGATCTTGAAAAGAAAACTGTGGGGAAAACAAGAAGTTACTTACCAATTTCTTAATCATTCATTTGGTTATTTAGCAAATAAAAGGTCCACAATTATATTACCGTAATCAAACTAGATCAGTGTATGACATGGCACATGTAATATTGTGGATTGATAATCGTACTTTTGTAATAAGAATAAGAAGGTGGAATTTTTGCTGGAAACTCTCACATTTCGGGCTGTTATGTCACCTTGAACTATATACTAATCGTTCCGAAGCCAAGAATAGAGTTTCTTGGAAGAAATCAGTTATTTTATTTTTTTTCCTAAACGATCGCTACATAACAATTATTTCGGGAATATCAGTCTTTTTCTCTTTGAGTAGCGCTTATTTCGGGAGAACGCTCAGAAAGACTTGCCTATCCCCGAGTCCTACTTTTTCACAAAAGACTGAGCGAGTGAGGTAAAGTATCAAACTTCAGCTGTTTTCCCTAACCCTTACAATTACTGTATCTACCGATGCGCTGCGTTCTTTCTAACTCTAACATTTGCTCAGAAGTTTCGGAAATCTGAATCGTCTCTGCATTGCAAAGAATCAGTACACGGCCGCCCGGTCGTCACGAAAAAACGATCACACAAAGTTGGATGTCATTTTGTAGACGGCCCTTACTGTTTCTAGGGTCAAAATGTCTACACTTATAAGTACACAACCGTCACCTTATAAGTGAATATCTATGAGATGAACCGTTAATATTACAAAGTTCTTTCTATGCTAAAAGGTGAGAATATACCGAGTTGTTGGTTTTCAGGTAGTGCGCACAAGCTGGACTCATGCATTGCATGATACGTTGCCGCAACGAGCAAGTCAAAAGCAAGTGATCGGGTGGACATTTTACCACGCGTTGAACGGAACTGTAACATCTAACCCTACCTATAAGTATAAGTGCCCACCTACACGTAGAAAAGCTGTATAGTAGCTATCTAAACCTAAAGGCGACCCTGACGACTCTAACACACATAAGGTATGCCCAAATACAATACATGGACAACAGCACCGGCCGGCGCCCACTGAATGCCGGTTGGAGCTGAACTGCGCGTACGAAGTGGTAGGAAGCCATACTCGGCTCCTGTCGTATTCATGGCGCTACCTCGCACGATTTTGGCTTTCTAGCTCTGACATTCGGACCACACTGACGGTCTTTCTGTCTCCTTGCTAGGACAGGTCGACACCCGACATGAGAAGAGATGTAAAACGGGCTGTCCCCTTCGCCATTGCGCGATCAGTGCTTTTAGGAGTAGCGAAGAGAAGAAACGACTCTGCAAAAATGTACCTGTGCAGTATGAACCACCAAGTCACTGACACAGAAAAACTCACGGTGTCGGACTCTATACTAGTAGTAGTATACTAAACTCGGTTAGAGAGGGCTTCTTGAACACTTGGTGTACACATTGGACGTGCTAAAATTTTGGACTCGAAATCAATATTGTAAATTGTATACACGACTATACTAATAAGTGCCACCTTTGCGTAGTACAATATTATATTCCTTCTACTGCATGGGTCATTTTCGGATGGTTTTTGCTGACACTCTGTACTGGTATTAGAAAAAAAAACCTTGGACACGGGAGCTAAAGATAGAACTCCCAATGTCTACTAGTTATCCACAGTTTTGTATGGTTTCGCGGTGGACACAATTTACACGCTGGGTATACTACATACGCCTACAAGTACTTTCGCCACGAAAAAACAGTGCCTATGTTAAAAACTTAGCTACCACTAGTTGTATAGCGTACACTAGGTTTAAGTATATACATAGTACACAAGCTGAGATATCAAAGTGAAATCTGTGAGATATTGATCGGATTAAACAATGGCCGAAAAGGCAGAACTTTCAATTATAATTGGGCTATAAATCGCATGAAATGACACGGAGAATTTACTTATGGGTGTATGTGTGATGTACCGGTTATTTTATCCTCAACAAGACCAGAACAGCTTTTGGTAAGTTTTAGATTTTAACCTCCTACCGTGTATAGATTCTCTGTACTTCTATTGTATTTATCAGCTTTTTAACTTCTTCATTGTCGTGAGATGTGTCTACAATATGGGCGGCCATTGTGGCTCTTCTATTGTTCTGGCTGGGATAGTTTTATAGCGGGGTTATAAAATGATTAGCGTCTTCGTGATAGCAGCCGATTCTTGTCATGGTCCGGGGAGAAAGAAAAACCGACCTACACTGACCAAACGAAGATCAATCGAACTGTACCTCCTAGCTACCGAGAGTGGGAAAACCGCAAGAGCGTTGGCGCTCGGGCGGGGAGGCAAACAAACACGCAACCTCTAGATTTGTATCGTTTGAGATTTCAGAGGACGATCTTGGTCAAGAAGGGGTTACGTTATTGTTAGGGATAGACGCATGCCATGTTGGTTCAAAGCTGCGGCCTATGATGAGGGGATACACGTATAGTTTGACATGGAAAATCGGGGCACTATAGCACTGTGTAGTGGCGGTATTTCTGATTGATGGTTTAGTTTTTAAAACGTGTTGGGAAATACGATAGTCTGAGGTTGATTTATGCGTCTAAATTTGGAGACCTCCCTCACAAAATGAGTGTGGATCGAGGGGAGCGTATTTTAATGACGTGGTCGCCGAGGGAACAAATGACCATTGTTTGGGTACTTGGCTTGGGAGGACTGTGGAAAGAGGAAAACCAACGGGATCGGTGACGTGCGCACACGGCGCTATTCAATACACAACTCGGTGCGCTCGACTCTACAAAACACCCGGGTCGGGGATTTGGTTGCTGTAAAAAATCGTCTGAAACAAGATGGCGTCGGGCTAGAGAAAATGTACTGGCATGGCGTAAACGTATACTTCGTGCATCGTTTCTTGTGATGATCGTACAATGGTATAACACGGGATCTGTACCTCAATTTTTGAGCGGGAAAATAACAATGCGTTCGGCTAATTAGGGAGGGGGACGGTGAATAGCAAGTTGAATATGTCGTCCGGGGAATTTCGGGGGAGAGCGGGAACACCGGCGTGCTCTGACTGAAAAACTGATGGCCGACGTTTTAGTTGGAAATTAGAAGGGTCGTGATAAAATGAGTGTATTGCCGTCTTGCGTTTTGGGGGCATAATTTTACAAAGGCGTCCCTTTATTCGGATCGCTAGGCAATTTGTGATCAGTGAAATTTGTGATTAACAGGCTAACGAATATTCGGAATATCGTTGTCGGAAAAACAGAGTTAGATGGGAAACGGGCAACAGAGTTCATATTTCAGGGACCGGTGCGGATGTAAACGTTTCGGTAAATCTACTAGATTTTAGAGGAAAGGATCAACAATCTTACTTAGTAAAAAAAATTGGAGATGTCTTTGCTGGCTATATTTCGTGCACTGAACCCAAATTTAGCTAGAAATGGTATCGGAAAATTCCTTTTCTAACACATTACAAATGTCCGCCGAATTTTAACTTTCAGTGTGTCGGAAAGATTAGTACATCAATTGATATTTTCAGTCAGTTCAGTCTCTGGCTCTCTGGTGTAAAATGTCTATTTTTGACCGTTGTGTAAATAAATACGATTGGCAATGAGTGGTTGAAATAGGATATCCGTGAAGGCCATATGAATAAGGAAAACCGGGATTCATCCCTCGGGAATCAGACCAAGAAAAAAAACGCCCCGTTTTCACAGATGCGGTTAATTTATTCATGTTCCCCCATCTCCTTATCAAAGCCATACTTGTTGATGGGATTAAATGTCTACAGGAAACGGGCTATTCCCATTTGTAGAAATGTTTGTTAGCTGTGAAAATCGTACATTCCAAAAGGCGGGGGTTGCGCCCTCCCCCGTCCCCTCCCCTTTTACACAAATCTCCTTTGTCTCAACGTTTCCAGACGTCCGTCGCGACCAATCGCAGGGCGCGAAACGGTCATTAAAAATGATAGTCACCTCCTAAAGCGAACGGCTCGGAGTGAGTACGGTGGTCGCGCCATTTGTCAAGGTTTTTTGCAGGCGACAGTTGGGCGGCCCCGGTTTTCAGGGGTGCACATGTACGTGTGCAGTGCCGTGTGGGTTAGTTGCACTCTCTCTCATGTGATATAGCGGCGAGTGTGTGCTTGTCCGTCCCCCTATCTTTTGTACGTCCATTCATTCATTCGTCGCGCGCCGTTCTGCGAGTTTCCAGGTCGCATGGTTTGCACCGAGCTTGTCATTTTCCCAGGTATTCGGCTTTTGGTGGCTTCGCGCTGAGTAGCGGCGACTTGAACCACATACAGCGACTGCAATAATTTCTGCGTGCATGAGTCCAGACAGAGAAATTCCAACAATCGGCGCATACGTCCCCAGTTTTGTCGGAAAATCTCTAAAAATCAGTCCGGCTATTTTGTGGGTAGGGCTCCCAAAGTTATATTTATTCTATAGGCATTTTTTATTTATTTCAGGATTTAGCTTGCGTTTTGTTCACGATTTATTTATTTTTTTTCCTGCCTTTAGGTGTGAAGGTGTGGTGGTGCGTGCGGGCATGACAACATGGAGGGTTTGACTAGAAGTTCGGTGTACGCCGGCGAAGGCGGCCATGCCCTGGTGAACGGGGCCCGGCTTGGATACCTCTACGTCGGTGGAAAACAGATGTTCGCTCTCTCCGAAGTCTTCACCACGCTGTTGGGCAATATCCCGCGAACGACCGTACACAAACGGATGGACTACCTCAGCGTGGACAAACACCCGTGCACGCTGGACGAACTGAGAAAACTCAAGTCCCTGAACGCGATCGCCTTCCACTCTGCAAAATGCACACTCATTTCACGACAAGACGTGGAAGCGCTATGCAATTCCTGCGAAACCGAACCGACCTTGAAGACTAAAAGAAGAAGAAAGAAAAACACCGATGGGGGTTGTGATAAGATAAAGAAAGACTTGATGAAAAAGAAGAATGGCGAGAGAGTGGGAGAGATTTCTAAGGCAAAAGGCCGCGCATGGGAAGGTGTCAGCGCTAATCACCAGAAAAACAAGATCGTGTCGTCAGCGAGTCAGTACTGTGGCGCTCCCACTCACGACTCCCAGCGTCGGCCAACTTTATCTGCCGATTTACCTCAGAAATCACACGTCCACGGCACCAAGTGGATCAGGAATGACTCACCGAGGTTCGGAGAGTATGGTAGCTTCGCCAAGAATGAGAATTTCTGGAGCTTCACGGAGTACCACGCACTTTCCGGAAACGTGCAAAATCGGACTCAAATGCCGAACGGCTTTGGCGCCACGCGAGTTCTCAATCAGCAAATTGTAAACAGCGTCTCTCTCTTCGGAAAGTCGCAAAAACAGAAAGTCTGCAACGAAGTGTTCGAGAAACAGACTGGAGAGTGTAGTGAGAAAGTTTTGCCAGGATTTGGGGGTCTTTCTGAGAAGGGGAATTCTAACGCGCAGTCGTGTTTTTCGGAGTCGCCAGTGAAGCAGCCGAGGCCGCCGTGCGGCTTGTTTGGGGCGGATAGCGTCATTTCACAATCCGGCAGCTTCGGGCTGAATAAACCCAGAAACTCTGTCAAAAATTCCTTCAGTTCTGGCCAAACGGTGAACGGAACGAACGATCCGACTTTCAAGAAGCCTGGAGAGCCTGTCGTGAGTTCGTCGTGCGACAAACAGGCGCGAGAAGACCCGCAGACGACAGATGGGGAACTTCGCGATTTAAATGGGTTTCAGTTGAATCAGGGTGTAAACAAGAACCATGGTCTTTTCGGGAGCGCGGAGAAACTTGGCAAGAAACTTCGGTTTGAAGGAAGTTCGCTGGATTTTATGACAAGGACTGGATCGAAGACAACCTTTGGTTCATCCTATTGTTATGGGAAGACTTTTGCGCAGGGGCTGAAAGAAACCGCGACAGAGAAAAACTCGGAAGTTCGTTTTGTGAACGGGTTTCAGTTCAAAGAACATGGCGTCCGCATCCAACATGGCGGCCCGCTGGACAACAGTTCGGACTCTGAAAGTTCCTGCCACTCCCTGCTCGACATCGACTCAAACCTCAGTGCTATGTCAAGTCTCTCGGCGTCTAGTGACTCTCTGAGTTCGGACACGACTTCTAGCGAGGATTTTGAGTCGGAAAGCGATGATTCCAGCGATTCCGACGTTTCGACGTCCAGTTCTGAATCAAACGGCAGCATTAGGTTCCGCAGACCGAATCTTTCTCAAGAACAGAGACTTCAACAACGGCCTGCTATCAACGACTGCCTCAAAGGCGTAGGGTTCTCTGTAGAAGGCCCTAAGAACGGGCTTCAAGTGCCTTCGACCCAGTTTTTAACAAGTTCTCCGAGCCGCGCCCCTCCCCCCAAGGCAGAAGACTCTCTCCCCTCCCCACCGACTTCGCCTCAAAGTGCCTCTCTTGTTCTCAAGAAGCAAGGGAAGAAAACTTGGGCCGTAGACTCTATTAAAGTCTCTCCTCCTCAGGAAAAAGTCTTAGTGGAAAGGGAAGACATCAGAGCTACTAAGGAGGAAAAGAAGACATATTGTACAATGAAATCCCCCTTGAGAAGTGGCCCCAAGCATAGTGGCCGAGGGAGGGGGGCATCACAGAAACAAAACAATGAAGCTATCAAACCTAGAGCCAAGAAAGCCATCCTGAATGGCTCCAAGTTTTCCCTGTCACCGAAGTCAGGAAAGGCTGCAGATAACTTCAAGAAACTGCCGTCCAAGAGCCAAGACGTTGCTCAGAAAAAGAAAAGAAAGCTGAACAGTGATGACATTGTGTTTTCAGGTGTGAAGAAGATGAGAATGGACCAACCAGGTGACAAGAGCAAGTCTCCACAAAAAGGAGTCAATGGTTACATACAGAATGCAACCTTCTCGCCAAAACTGGCTAAGATGGCGCCGCCACTCGACGAAACAGCGAAACTGACTGAAAATGAGCTAGCGATTAAACTAGAAGCGATCTCGTCAGAAATCGACAATCTGCGCAGGAGTAAGACCAACAAGAAAAAGTTGAAAAACAAGGTGTTGCCGAGACCTAAAGCGCAAATACCTCAGAGAAAGTCGAACTTGAAAACAGCCAAACCAGACTTGAAACGTAGCAAGAAAGCAAGCAAAGTTTCGCCAGCCCAGAAAACAAATCTTAACTTATCATCCAAGTCCTCAGAAAAGACTCAAAAGTTGTTGTCTAAAGACACAACAAAGACGGAGGAAGTTTCTGAAACTAGGGCGAATAAAGGCAGCTACCATTCAATGGCTCCAGGAAGAAAGACCTTCAGCCTTCTTGCACAGTTCCCCTGGATGCCTACATTGACTCTCGGAGTTGACGGTGACTTGGTGCCTGCGTATTCCATGAGACTCGAACCCGGGACCACCAAACCCTGCAGGAAACATCCAGCCATCAAGTGGAAGATGGGGGGCAAGCCTTACAGCAAACCGGGCACAGTGCACGCCAGCGAGCTTCGCAAACGCCGCGGGAGGAAGAAGAAAGCAGACGTGTCTTGATCCCAGGTGTGTGGAGTGAATGTACCTGTCTGTGACCGACCCTGTCCTCACTTGCTAGCACATACGAAACACTACACCGCAGCCACCCTGTGTACATTGTATCCACATACCCTTATCCACAATACCTGGCTTTACTGAGATAGCCAGTACCTTTCGCTACCAGGCAAACAACTACTAATACTACCAATGTCAGGCTTAATTCTACCTCTAGTAAACATATGCATCCCTTTCACAAGTCTCATGTATAGGCTTCAAAGAGGAAACAGCAATGATCAACAATACAACACAAGACGTAGAGGAATTTCTCTGATTTTGACCAGTGATAATCCATTTTGCAGTCTCCTAGAGTAAAGTATGGTTGTGAATACATTTGCAATAGGTAACATATTACTAGAGTAATTTTCAACTACAGCATTGTAGCTCTCACATATAGAAATACAGGTTGAATACTGAAAATAGAGGGCTTTGTGGCTTGAATGAAGTTTTCTACTACTTATATAGCAACCAAACGAAATCATCAATGGAGATTCCAATTAATTTTTAAAACAGAAATGTTAATACTAAATCACCATAGCATGTCTTCTGTTAAGGGCACATTATTTAACGTTAAGTGTTTTTGATTCCTTAATTTGTAAACATCTTCTTTTTTTGGGGAATAATAGAACAATGTCCTTTTCAGCAGTAGGACATAACGTGTATCTCCCCAAGTCCTCTTTAGTGGGTAGTGTTACTGTCTGTCCAAGCAAGGAGGTAAAAGAAAAGGACCTTGGTTTGATGTAAGTTGTTAGTAAGAAAATGCCTACAATGAGGTAGAGAGACATCTAATGCATAGATCTAGATGCAAACTCAGTGTAACAAATACATGTAGCACAGCAGATTTTGTAAGGTCAACAGCAAACTACAAAATAGAAATACAATAAATCTTAAGAATCTGGTTACTAAACAATAAGTGCTAATGTAAATCTGTAGTATTTAATGTTAGTAAGTTATGTTACTAGTAGGTGACGCTAGTTGTGGGGTCCAGTATCTTTTCTAATCATAATGCAATGTATTATGCATAATTTTCACAGTGAGAGTTGTCACTTCTAAAGATATATTCAAATCTCCTTGTGGCATGGAGCGTATTGGAGTCCATTGTGTGTGTATTTGCATGTATGTATGCACAGCTGACTATTGGTAAAACTGGAAAACAAAACAAAAAGTCACGTTTTTAAAGCTTAACACCTGAATTTTCCTCCTGATGTTGTGTTGTTCTTTTTGTAGTGGCCTGATATATGTTCAGGTCAGTGCTATGCTGAAACCAGTAAACGTGGAGGTAGCATGTAGCTGGGTCCCATGTGAGGTCACTAGGCCACGGGCAACGTGCCAATAAACTCTCTCTGTTTGTGCTGTGTGGTAGGGGCTGGTTGGTTGGGGGTGGGGTTAGCTGCCAGGTGCCCTGACTGGGAAAGGTCAAGTCCAGGTGTTTCTGAACCCATGTTCCAGGTTAAACTATGACTATGGCAAGAAAAGTCTGCAAATGGTCACCAGTTTTTGATAGTTTTGGGAAAAAATTGATTTCAACTATGTACATGTACTATATAATCAAAGGGTTTCAGATCAAAGGTCCTATGTTAAGTTTTCAGGGCTTGAAATATGTCCAGCTTCAGTTTGCAGAAAAGAATGGAAACATTTACAGGTGAAAAATATAATTATATAGAACTGGCAACTGGCTGGAAATATTCAGGGTTGGTGCTAATACCCGTGCTATGGATCGCCTGCATTTCAGCTAGCCCAGGTCAGCAGCTCAGGTAACTACTAGTAGTACTAGTAGCTATGTGTAGTTCATGACTTTCATCTCCAATCCAATAAGTGTGCAGGTTGACAAAACATGTCAGCACATAATTTTGTTTACAAAATTTAAATAGATGATGGCAGACAGTAGAGGCTTCTTTAGGCCAAGAAGGTTGTTGTGGATTTTAGCAGTAAGATTTTACAGATAGCAGATAAAATTATGAACAATTTATTGCAGAAGAAGAGAAGGAAAGGAGTTAAAGACATTTTTTTGTAGCCCGGACTTCATATTTGAATTCAAGAGAAACAAGTTAGAGTTGAAATGAGTCCTTGGTAGACTCAACGGTTCAACCATGCCAGATTTGTACATGTCCACACGCATCATTCAACAAGTGGACCAAATCATTGGATACAATGAACATGCACTGCACAGCCTGTAGTGTATAATGTATAGCAAGAAGGACATTTTGAGTCAAAACCTTGAAACCTGCAAGCTGACAGAATTTTTTCTTGTACCCGCTAAGGATGACATGACTATGAACTGGTCGAGTGAAAATTTTTTGCAGTTTTGCAGTTTTGGCATGGCAAACAAATTGAATGGATTTACAGTAGAGTCAATTCCGCGTCACCGAGTGGGTTTTTTCTCCATGTTTCTAATACGTTTGAATTATTTAGAAGAAAAGAATACCCCAGTAACAAAAGTTCTAAATTCTTCAAAAATTTTAAAATGAAAATTTGAATATATTTGAATTCATTTATATATTTCTGAAACATTTTGAATGTGACTGTACAAAGATCTCTTTATTTAGAATAAATTTGAACTACCCATGTGTTTCTTTCACTATTCGAAATATTTAGAACTATTTCAAACAAATGACAAAATGGTAGATGTGGGTAATTGCCCCCATAAAAGTAGGTGCTAATCCTACTCTTCTGTATTCTTCTGTATATTTTTAGGTTTCACTGCTGGACACTGGTGGCTCTTTTGTTGTAAGGCATCAATGCCTGACGCCCAGGCAGTCTACCCTGTACTTCACAGGGATGTGTGAATTACTTCCTTCCCATCCCACTGACCTATTTACAAAATGTTAGAAATAATTCGAAATAATGGTAAAAAATGGTAGAGTGCTGTTAGAAATATTTAGAAACTATTGGAAATGTCATAATCCACATCAGGAATATTTCAAACGTTTTAGAAAACCAGGGAATTATTTAGAATATTGACAAGATGTTCAAAATATTTCCAAATTATGAAATTTCTTACACAAACAATTACAAAGAATTCAAAACATTTCTAAATGATGACAATAACAACCCACTCGGTGACGCGGAATTGACTCTATAGTAAAACATTTTTTTTTTCAAAATACTCAAACTGAGTAAAATTATGTATCAAAGCGAGCTTTTGACTTTGTATCAATTGTCATAGCCAATACCACAAAAATGGAAATATGGGAACAGGATTTTTTCTCCAAAACAACATTGTAACAAGAGGGTAAAGTATGTTGGGATTTTGGTCAAATGTTTGTCACATTCTCTTCTGCTGAATGTATTCATTTTTATTTTTGTACCTGCAAATCACTACTGACAGTGGTTATTGCAATGTATCCAGAGTCTTGTTTATAAAACGATAAAGACATTTTACATCAGTGTCAAATGGACACAAAATCAGTTCCATACTAGTACATGCCCAGAGCAGCTTTGGGTTTAGTCACTCACCCCATAAATGTATGAAAATATTTGGTATATCGGCCAGTGCTCCAAAAGGTATAGGTTTTAACAAAAGGCTAACACCCTGTTAGAATTCTTTCACACAAGGGCTAAATCTCAGATAGGCTGTCTTATAGCTGTTTTCAAGAACAACATTAGATTATATCAAGCATATACAAGTGAATAGGTTATACATGTATGTAGCACATAAATGTATGCTACTAGTATAGGCAGTCTAATATTTTATATAGAGAGCATACACATTATGGTAGACAATATGATATTGAATTATATTGTATTCAAACTACACAAGAATGACAGCATCAGCTGAAGACAGTGGCTCGTTTTTCTGGAGTTAAAATGACACACCATTGTTTTCTTTGGATAGCCCGGGTGCCAGACCCCACAGCACACTAGGCTCAAACTCAAAAGTTATCCTGTGTGGACCGAACCCCTGCACACTGAATAACTTTGAGCCTACTAGTAGTGTGCTGTGGGTCTGGCACCTAGGCTAACGTTAAAGAGCTAACAAGAAAAGTCTTCTCCATTTGGCCCTTAACCTTACTCATGGTAACAATGGTTCAGTTTTGATTTCTCTAAAATGTCTTCTGTCTTCCTCTGGCCCCCCCTAAGGAAAGCCTTGAGTTGCTGGGTGATTGATACACTGTGTACACTTGATATGGTGTGACATAATTTACGACCAGTTCATTACAGGAAGAAAGGGTGTTGGGATACAAATCCGTTCTTTTGATCTTTTTATGTACTACTGGTGTGGAATGAATTGTAGTAGGTAGAGAGACCTATGTCTGTGGTACAGGTACAGTTTTGGACCTGCTCTACACTACGTACATTTGTACATACATTTACTGGCATTTGGAAAGGTCTGATTTGATGCAACACAGAAAACAGATGTTTTGGTGGCTGCAAGACTGTATCATATTGGCCAAACAGTATCAAATTGGCATGGCAGTATCCAATACCACTCCCTAAGTTTGGCTGGTGAAAAAAAGACACCAGTACAAAACAGAAAGCCATATAGAAAGCACATCAAATATAGCTGAAGCCTAAACCTTTGCTTGCAGAGTAAGAGAGATTCATGTCTAGGGTACAGGTAGAATTTTTGTAGTTCTTTTCATATATTTACCAGCAGTTGGAAAATATGAATTGATAACACACAGAAATCAGCGAATTCATGGGTTTTATTTTGGTTTCTTTCGACTGTCTGATATGTGTTGGTTGTTGCTATTTGGCCACTGTTGTGCACAATGAATACATATGATCAGATATGAAGTTAGCATGTTGTTCTTGTGATGTTTGTAGCCAGATTTGGGAGTTTTACATGATTGGGTGTTTGTGGGCCCTTTTGTACAACCATATACTGCTGTCATGTTCCAGTTTATTCCAGAAAGAGCTGAGTACTTCACACGCCTGTTAGTTTGTCTTGGAAGCTTACCAAGTTGTGATGTAGCACTTGTATTTTTCTGTAACAGTCTAAGCCTATGAACTAGCATTTCTCTCACGGA